AGACAGACAGAGAGAGACAGAAAGCGAGAAATCACCCCCCAGGGGGGATGGCCACACCGCAACCCCTTCTCCTCCATTCTCCTCTCGGGATCTTGGGCACGCACACACACGTTCTCGGTGAGAGTTTAAACCACTGGGTCTGGGACTCGACCCGTGGTCGACTACATGGGAGTCCAATGACGTAGCCATTATGCATACTGCTGGTCCCAATAACTTATTTTTTAATTTTTTATATAAAGAGCAATGAAGTAAAGAAACCAAAGCATAGAGATTTACTTTTTTGGGGGGGGAGGGTTTTTTGATTTTTGATTTTTGCTGTAGGGCACGTGTGCTCGCCAGAAAGAGAGAGACAAAGAGACAGAAAGTGAGAAATCACCCCCAGGGGGGATGACCATGCCACAATCCCTTCTCCTCCATTCTCCTCTTGGGATCTTGGGCATGAAGACACATGTGCATGTCATGAGTTTAAGCCACAGGGTTCGGGAGTTGAACTGCTGTCGGCTGAATGGGAGTCCAGCAACATAGCCATTACCCCAACTGCTGGTCCTGAGATTTCTTATATGTGGTGTGCTAGGCTTGAATCAACAGTTATATTCACAACTTAAAGAAAATGGAACTTTTTTCACATTTATATGGGAGGAAGGGTGTGGAGCTTGAGTTGGGTTTGTTTGGGTCCTTGGTCACAAATTCTTCTCTTGGTTAATATGAATATGTGTGCATTGTTGTAGTTGGGGATCCCACAAGGGATGTAGTTCCAGAACTGTTTCAGCTCCACATTTCCAACCTTATAAGATCAAGGTTAGGTCATCTTCTTAAGAGTGGCAGGTAAGTTTTAGGCAGTATTATGCTTAATTTCTACAATATCTGCATTGTAATTAGATGAAACAAGTCAAGATTAATACTTCGTACAACAAAGTAAGTCTAATAAAATTTAATTCTTAACCATGAACCATAAAACCCCGCAGGTAACAGTTTTCAGCAAACTATCTGACCATATCTCCTATCATTTTTTCCTTTTATGGAATCTTCAAACCATGCTTAAACTTGCCAAGGTCTTTGCTACTGGCAGGGCCTTTATACTTGCTGCTTCTCTGAGTGAAATGCTACCCTCAGATCTCCCCACAGTTCCATTCTCATCTTCAAGCTCCTGCTCAAGTATCACCTTCTACTAAGGACAATCACTAAATCCTATTTAAAATAGTTCTACCTCTTGGTGATTCTCTGTTGTTATGCAATCTTTTTTTTTTTTTTTTGAGAGTTTTTTTTTTTTTTTTTCTCCGCTGTAGGGCGAGCGTGCTCGCCAGACAGACAGAGAGGGACAGAGAGACAGAAAGTGAGAAATCACCCCCCAGGGGGGATGGTCATGCCACAATCCCTTCTCCTCCATTCTCCTCTCGAGATCCTGGGCATGCACACACACGCGCCCGGCATGAGTTTGAAGCCACCAGGTCCGGGACGCAAACCGTGGTCGACTACATGGGAGTCCAACGACATAGCCATTATGCTAACTGCTGGTTCCCTTCTTATGCAATCTTAAGCTTGTATGACCTCAGATCTGATTTATTTATTTATTTATTTATTTATTTATTTAATTTATTTTTTCTTTCTATCTCCTGTCAGGGTGTTTGACAGTTGAGCTGACTAGCAGGCTTATTGCTTAGGCCAAAGGTAGCACTGACACTGTGACTGAAAAAATTTCTCTCTCCCCTTTCTTTCTGGAATGGTGTCTCTAGTCATGCCTATGTTTTCTCTGTGACTCCAGTACCGTCCTTCAGATGAACTCTGGTTCCAATTTCTTCTAGATAACCCAATTTTTTCAATCTGATAACTG